ATATAGTGGTGCTTCACTTTCTCTATTTCAGCCCAATAATCACTACTGTAGCCACTACTTGTGGTTGAACTTGTCGATTCTTCAATATTTGGATTCATATTATCACGTGAACTGTTATAGGCAGAGATGAGTACAGAACTGATCAAGCTCGGAATTTGTTGATATTTATATATCATAGAAAAAACAAGTCTGAACCTGTTTATGATAATTAGCCGCAGCTTATCGCTCATCATTAAGCGTAAATGTGTTTTGCTACTTATCGCTCATCATTAAGCGTAAATGTGTTTTGCTACTTATCAAATGGCCTTCATGAAAGTTGTATACCAGTGTCATACAAAACTATCTTTGGTGATCCATGAGTTGTGAGATTTGTCTAAGCCAAGCCATTTGACATATATTTTATTTCCTTTGGTTCTCAACACTTTCTCAACTAGATAAATGTCGGGATATTTTGCTTTTTGCAATTCTTGTTCGTAAAATGCCCCTTGAATAGAATTTCCTGAAACGTCTTCTAGAAGATAAGTTGTCGGATTGGTTGCACGAATCTTATTTATTCTGAATAACTCATTCGACCAGTTTGGAGTGTACGATTTTGAAAATGCCTCACGATATTTACTTATTCGCACATAATCGTCTTCTTTGAATTTGGGGAATTTAGGATCACTTGTTTTCAAATGACTGTAAACTGTGTTGAGAAGTAACTTCTCATTTTTTTCATCAACTTGAATCGGTTTCATCCCTATTGTCCTGTGCTTAGTATGATTATATGTAGAAACGATATTTTCCAATAGGTCGATCCATTTATAATTTCCTTGGAGACTAAATTGTTTCCACATGATATTTTTTAATGTTCTATTTACACGTTCCACTATGCTGGCTTTCGTACTCGAGAAAGTGCTATAATGGTTGACCCCGTATATCTGCATGAGTTCACCAAACAATTTATTGTAGAATTCTCGCCCTCTGTCAGTATGCAGATTTTGTGGAGGGGATTTTGCGTGTGTCAGAATTTTTTTCATCGCAAGTGTAACATCCTTGGCTGATTTACTTTTTACTGGCTCACACCACACAAATTTCGAAAAAGTATTTATAACAACCAGAATGTATTTTAATCCTTTGTTGAATTTTGCATAAGGAATCATTTCAACCAGATCAGCTTCCCATAAATCATTCAACCCTTTGATTATAACCCTCCTTCATGATCTAGAAGTCCCAATAGGTAAAGCCCTATGTGAGCTGTGGCTCTCTTTGTCTTACTACTAGCTACCCCATTGGGTTAGTAAATGTGGTGGTAATTTGGTTACCAAATTAGCTAACAGACTTTTCTGGTTGATCATTCTTGTCATGTCACCCTCGAAGACCGCTGCAATATTTCTAACTGAACTGCTGAAATCCATGAAGGACTCAAGGCTCTGGACATCAGGTAAGTGACGTATTTTCACTAAAAGTTCATCAATTATTAGTTCTTGACGCCCATATTTATTTTCTAGCATGTCGATAATCTCATCAGGGGATTGGGCAGTTACTAATAGCATCTCTACAGTCTTTTTAGCTTCACCTGTCAGGTTTTTGTTCAGCCTGAGAACATTTTCCTTTGGTGAAAACATGCAAGTTTCATTAGAGAGCTTATATTGTGAATAAAATATTGGCCATTTCAAGCAGGAACTTCCGTCGAATGGTATTAGCTCATTCCCGACAGTTTGTCTTGCTAGCATGCTGTTGATGGATCGTGCTAGATCACCTATTTGATTTTGTGATGGATGATCTAAGGTACATGGTGGATAATATTGATCATCTATATTATTAGTCCACTCTTGAACATCCCGTGTATTATGATTTTGTGAAATGTCACTTCTGATATCAGTGATGTCATTTTGATAGGAAGTTGTTACCTCAGAACCTGAATCAGAATCCATCTGGAAAATCTCTTCGTATTTCTGTAATGACTTTTCTTTGCAATTAAGGCGCGTTTCATAGATTTCGAAGACTTTCCTTATCTGTTCTAAGTCACGTTGTTTAGCGGTTGTGTTCGGGAGCTGCTTCTTCAATTTTCATTTTGTTCAGTTCAGCTTCTAAACACACTATTTCTTCCTGTTTTATGAAAACACAATCTTGAAGTTTCATTATTTCATCTTGAATCTCTATCAATTTTGATTTCTTTTCAAATCCTTTGAAAGAACTCATTTTTGAACTCCTACTGCAACTTTTCGGATGTGTTTGAGACATATTTTCAGTTTCGTTAACCATTTCGAACATTTCCATAACTGTTCTTATGAAAAATATTGTCAAATCATTGGCATTTGCGGTTTTTTCATACTGAATATCAAATAGAGTGCATAGCTGTTGAAGACTTTTCTTGCTCAATGAATCTCCAACCAACTCGATGTGACGATGTGGTCTTTATAATCCTTTGAGTTTTCGACGAAATCATACCCAGGGAAGGCGAAAATGTGCTTTCGTATTGATTTACTTGCCGAATGTCTTCCGTACAGAGCAAACTCAAGATCTTCTAGCATTTTATTCTGAGTGTTCTTCAGTTTTGACTCCATGTTTGGTAAATTTTGCAGAACCTTTTGTGAAGCCATTCTGAGGACTGTGCTTGCCAAGTGCTGTTTCTCAAGGCGCGAAGGACCACTTGTGAATTAATTATACCTTTTTGGGAAACCTTTTATACAGGGTGTTGCGAAATTCGACCGACAACGCCTGACAGGTGATAGCCCTCGTGATTTCATAATCACTGAGATAGGGACATACGGTCTCCAAGTGTTCAGTTCTCGAGATACAGGGCGTTGAAGTTTAGAAATTGAAATAGGTTTTTCGCAATATCTCAAGAAAAATTGAATATAATGCATTCAAATTCGGTATATGGTTTCATCTTTCATTGGTTCATTTTTTGACCAGAAAGACATCCCAAGAATTTTATCCATAGGTGCGCTACAGAGGGTTGTGATAACTTTTCCTCCCATATTATCTACGCCACTGACAAAATTTCGATTATTTCCAATTTTTCGAATTGATTGTTCAATTATGTTGAACAAATGCATCACCTTCAACTGAGCTTAAATGAACAGTTATCGAGATATTCGACCCAAAATAGAAGTTTGCATAGTAATTTTTCATCTTCCTCGGTAGTAGAAAATAACAAAAATGTTTGTTTTCTCTTTATGCGTGGAATAACTATTTCTGTTCAGCTACAGGATGAGATCTGAATAGTATCTGATCTACTCAACACCAGAAATATATTTTTGCAATTTTCTACTACTGAAAGTAATGAAATATTACTATGCAATCTTCTATTTTGGGTCGAATATCTCGAAAACTATTCATTTCAGCTCAGTTAAAGGTGATACATTTTTTGAACAAAATTGAACAATAAATTCGAGGAATTGGAAATAATCGAAATCTACTCAGTGGCGTAGAAAATATGGGAGGGAAAGTTACCACAACCCCCTGTAGGGCACCACTGGATAAAATGTCCAGAATGGCTTTCTGGTAAAAAAATTACCTATACAAAGATGAAACCATATCCCGAATTTGAATGCATTATATTCAATTATTCTTGAGATATTGCGAAATAACTATTTTTATTTCTCAACTTCAACGCCCTGTATCTCGAGAACTGAACACTTGGAGACCGTATGTCCCTATCTCAGTGATTATGAAATCACGAGGGCTATCACCTGTCAAGCGTTGTCGGTCGAATTTCGCAACACCCTGTATATTTTATTCAATATTCTGACAATTCTATCTTTATTTATGATTAACAACTGACTCACTGTCACTATCAGATATACAGTGCATTGAAATATTCAAGTTTCTTGAACAATGGTATAACATATGGGATTATTCAAAACAGCCTTTTTGTTATAATTTTTTTTCAAACGGGTCATGTTTTTTCGAAAAATTCAATTACTTTTGAACCATCAACAATGTGATAACCACATATACCGTTATTTTTATTGCAAATTACTTCCCCTACCACCTCACTTCTTTCGATCCATGACACCCTACCCTGTATAAATCCGGGACAAAAGTCCACGTGGGAAAAAAGTGTGTTATGAAGAGTGAAATTTTATAACCTGTCAAGAGAGATGAAATTTCAAACTTTTTTCCCGTCACAGAAAAAGGTGATTTTTGCTGGAAAACACGTTCCGTCAGCATCGACAGCTTGGCTCCGAACCGGTCTGTAGGTGGTTCAGCGTTACCTGGCTACAATTCAAAAACAATTCGGCTCTCAGGAAAGAATCATATTTGCTGTCATCAATTATTGTTTATACAGCTTGTCTCACTTTGAACGACCCCTCCTCTATATCTCAGCTATTAGTTGTGCGATTCGAACCAACCAACCAACTACAGTTTTTCAGGGCAACATTTTGGACAGTGCCGTACTTTTTGATTGAAATAGAAAAGGGTCGATTTTTAAAAAAATCATATTAGGATATTTTTTTTCAGAAAAACTAAATTAACATAATTGTTCGTCTTGCTCTTAAACCTCCATAGGCAAGAACTCACCTTATTCCGAATCAACAGGATTGGCTTCATTTTTTTCATTCTCTGCCTCAATACAATATTCAATTCGGAACGTTTAATAGCTATGGTAGGTAGAAAATTATGTTTTGAAAAACATACAAGATATACTTTTTTTGTTGAACTCACCGTTTGCAAGTAAATAATTATTTACCTTGGCAAAAATGATGTTTAAATGTGCCTGTTTTTTCGAAATCCTTTATATAAATCATTTGAAAGTTTGCATATGGTGGTTTGAGACCATGCATAACAATATTATGAGGTTTATACTGTTCCAAATTTGGTAGGAATCACACGATTAATAGCCGATATGGAGGGGAGCCGTTGAAAGTGAGACACGCTGTATACTTAGTTGTTTTCTCCCTCGATTTAATTGAACACCTGTGTGGATGGCTTCGAGTTTGTCACTCACTGTTGCAATATTCAATGTCATATCTGAATTACCGTTTGGTGATGAGGATATTTACTTTTAGGGCGTGCCACATTCCTGGATAACTTCAACGACATGTCAATATCACCTTCCAACGTGTCGATGACATGTTTGGGATCATTTTTATATCATGATCAAGTCTCGGAAGTACCCCTTATATAGTTAGAATAAGTAATTTAAGGATTTGCTCTACATTTCAATGAAAAACTCCTTTGAAAATACTTGAAGTAATTTAATGTATAAAAAGAGAGGTATGTAAGATTGAAAAACAATAAACGATTACAAGATTCACACATTCTATGACTACAGTAATTGTTACTAATCAATAATGTAATTCGGGTGGACAACGAGCATTGGATCCTCTTCGGTTTCTTGGTCTGAACCTTTTAATCCCACTCTTGTCAAGGGAATAATAATTTGATCCTATAAAATAAAACAAAATGTAATTTCAAAAGTCAAATTAATGATATGCTCTTATACTTTGAATAAAACCATTTGAATACCCTTCAATGGGCTTGTACTGGTTTATCCGTCGAGAAGGCCCACCCTTATATTTACCTTATTTTTTTATCAAGAAAAGAAAACAATATGCGGAAGTTCAATGCCGCGATGAGGCTGCTCCACAGCCCTTATCAAAAGTTTTACAGAGTAATACCTTCTAGGCTCAAAAGAGTGGTGATAAAGAAGGGAAAATAGCCTGTATATACAGTCTGTCCAAGATAAGGTTGCACAGCATGGGGATCTCGGAAACGGTAGGAGATACGAAGTCGGTTAAATGGGGAAAAAGTTGCGCATTCGGAGGCTCATACCAACAGCCTTCGAAAATTTTCAATTTTTTTTTTAGTTTTTCAATTATATCGAAAAAAGTGAATTTTTGGAATTTTTTTTTCTCCGTTATTATTAGAGATACAGAAAAACTGAAAATACTTTTTCATAGCAACTTTTGATGACGTTTAACGTGGTGATACCGATTTTTTTATGCGACGTTTCGTATTCGTGGAACCATCATCAACTTTCGTTTTTTAAATACGGTCCTGATAATTCTTTCACAGGTTCTGAAAGCTTTTTTTATTCTGAATTCAACCATGTATTATACAAGGTGGTTTGAATGTGTTTCGAACTATTTTTAGCCATCATCAATGTTTTTTTCGAAATTCCAAAGGAAAAATGCCATCAGTTCCACTTATTTGGAAGGAAAATTAGCCAACAAACTAATACCTCATCAACTAGGTCCGATTGATAGACTTATAGGAATAATTAGTTCGAAAAATTTAATTATGACAAGCTCCTTCGGATTAAAATATGAATACAATTCATAAACAATTCGTAGCGCTGCATTGAATAATTTAGTGGATTTTTTTTCACTTTTCAGTATTGAATAACTAGTCCATCAATGTTTGACACTGAATAATCAGAAATAAGTGAAACTGATGGCATTTTTCCTTTGGAATTTCGAAAAAAACATTGATGATGGCTAGAAATAGTTCGAAACACCTTGTATAATACATGGTTGAATTCAGAATAAAAAAAGCTTTCAGAATCTGTGAAATAATTATCAGGGCCGTATTTAAAAAACAAAAGTTGATGATGGTTCTACGAATACGAAACGTCGCATAAAAAATCGGTTTCACCACGTTAAACGTCATCAAAAGTTGCTATGAAAAAGTATTTTCAGTTTTCCTGTATCTCTAATAATAACGGAGAAAATAAAATAAAATAGAGATTCCAAAAATTCACTTTTTTCGATATAACTGAAAAACTAAAGAAAAATTTGAAAATTTTTGAGGGCTGTTGGTATGAGCCTCCGAATGCGCGACTTTTTCCCCATTTAACCGACTTCGTATCTCCTACCGTTTCCGAGATCCCCATGCTGTGCAAACTTATCTTGGACAGACTGTATATTATTATATTTGTGATCAATCTATTAGCTTCTATTGCAGAAGTGGCAGAAGGAATTCTAAAGAGAAATGACAAAATTTATGACAGTAATTACACAAGTTGTGGTAATTTTTTAATAAATTTTACTAGTGTTCCACATCATACATGGAACCATTCCAGAAGAAAATTGTGCTTGTCTCGAGTCACGTTGAAACTCATGTAGCCAGCTCTTAGGGCCAATTTATGCATCATTGTCTCACTCTTAGTCACAGTCTTTGTTTTAATCATAAAATCAAGTTATGAGCATACATTTCAATAGGGAAATTCATGCAACATTTTTAGTACTAGTCCTAATCATAATCATTAAATCGTGACCCTGAAAGTTACAAACTTTCAATTTTTATGCTTATGATTGAGACCACATAAGAAATGCGCATATGTAGACCTATATGACAATCACAAATGACATTTAATTTTGTGTTTGTCATCCAAAAATCATTGTCATTTTGTACTGTGTCAATAATTGATCAATCATTCTGATAATTTGATTACATTTGTTAACAAATATCAAAAAGTCATGAGCCTGGAAGAAGAAACCCTAATAGATTTGGTGGAGAAATTTACCCATCTTTGGGACAAGAAAGACTCAAAATAAAAAGATAAAATTGCAATAGAGAATTCCTGGTGTGTAGAATTTGTTTTTGTACCTATCTCTTGACATTGTCAATTATCATATCATAATTCTTAAGCCTAAAGACTGTGATGCATAAAGGTACAAATATGATGAGTTAATATTCTATTCACCTTGCTAAGACTATGATTAAGACAATGACTAAGACAATGATGCATAAATAGGCCCTTAGACTATATTATCGATATCACTCTAAGTACACTCACGTGGTATATGAGGCGGTCCAGCACTTTCTCGAACATATCCTTCTTCTCTATCAGTTCCTCTTCAGTCTCTATTTGATCTGCCACGTGGTTCAGGTACCATTCAACCACATCACTTCTATGGATTCCCTCCTTCTCTTCTGCAAACAGGAAAGTATGGGTTATAATCAAATACACTATACTGTTTCACCACTAACCGGACCGATTTTTCTCGGTTTCAACAGAAAAAAACGAACGCAGAATGTTTTATAATCTTTTGTCATCTCCTATCTGATTTATAAATATTTCATACATTTTCCGTAGTTTTGATATCTTGGATCTTTTTTTTCTCTTGGAGCGCACGAAAAGAAATTCCTATAATGTTCGTGGAATTTGGTTTTAAATTTTTTTTTCGTGTCTATGAAATAAAAATATGAATATTATTTCATTATACGTGTAGTAAGGACAAATCATTTGATTTGCCCCAAAATGTCACTGCCTTTAAAAAATGTTCTTATCAGAGAGCCTAAAAGAAAAATTCACTAGCTTGTCAGTGACCATTTGTATTGAAAAAAGTTTGGAGAAGAGAAATAATGGTATACAGGGTGTTCCTTAAAGACATGCTAATATTTGAGGTGATTCTTTGATTTGTTTTAGGAAGAGAACTTCACATGAACGTATGTCCTAAATTCTCAACTTTTGAGATACAGGGTGATGATGTTTTGAAAAATATTCAGTTTTTTGATACTAACTGAAACAATATTGTATACATCTTCATGAAAAGTGGTACACGTCTTTTATGCATCAAGGTGCATTTTCTGATGTACAAAAATTTTTATTTTCTCTACCAGTGGCACCGTTACGGGAATATTATTATTTATATTCCACTTAAGTGAGCAACGACAAAAAATTCAAGATATATACAATGTCATAAAAGGCTATTCAATTATGTACATACAAAAAAATAGAACGATTCGTTTTCGAGAAAAAACGGAAAAACGAGACCAGACTTCAAATTTGGATGTCTGAGTACTTTCAGGACATCCATTACTGGATAACCACAGTATGTAACATTTTGAAATTTGTATACCGATTCAGTCACATAGCAGACTGAATTTTGCCAGCACAAAGAGCAATACAGGGTGGACAAAAAAAAATCTATGCATATTTTCAACATTGACCCCTGTATCTCAAAAGTAAGGACGTTTACGACATACGTTCATATGAAGTTTTCTTCTTGAAATGGGTCAAAGAATCAGCCCCTTGAATATTAGCGTATCATTAAGGAACACCCTGTATAGAAAAAAAATAAAATTTTTACTTAGCTTTGGACGTTTCGGAAATGCAAAATATTGTTCTTTAGAAGTTGTGCTCTGCTTATAGTTTGACACTTCTCAGTGTCATACTGATGTTGGCATATATATTGAAATAATACGCATATTTTTATTTTATAGAAACGAGGAGAAAATCCCAAAAAATCAGTAAAATTAATGTACCACCTCCTTGATTAACCTACAGACAGTATGTATATCTTTGTTATACTGGTGAGGCTTCTCAGACCCCAAAGCTGTTTACTGCACTGTCACTATCTTGCTACCTAACCAAAGACTGAATTTCCGCCAGGATTTCAGAACAAATATCAGAATGAAGTGACTTAAAACATGTCTGGCCATCTGAGAAAATGTGTCACTTCTCAAGTTGTTATCAATGCATGAAACCTGTAATTTTTCGACGTTTGTAGAAAAATGTAAATTGAACCATCACATTTCGATAATTATCTTCAATTATAAAACAATAATGAAACCCTGCATAAGATTACCTGCTTCCAATCTGGTCTCCTCCCTCCTCATATGCACCACAATCATATTGCTGATGGTCTTGTACTCCTCGAAGCTCAGCAGCATCTTCTTCTTCGCCGCCCCCGGCGCTGCTTCGGTAGGCCTCTCCTCCATCACCCCTTCATCCACATCCTCTGGCATCCCCTCCTCCTCCTGATCGGCCCCCAGCTGGATGTCGGGCTGCTCCACCCTGATAATAGAGATCTGATCAAATTCATATTCCCAATATTATGCTTTATTGTTATAACAATATATTTGATATACACACTAAATGGACCACTCATAATTTGACTCTATTTCGAAGACCTGTATTTTTTGAAAAAATTGACCGATCTCCATGCGGTTTTCGATATCAGATGTGATATTTCATCGGCTTCAAAGAGAGCTAGACCACTCTGAAAAAGTCCGCAGGACAAAACTTACACAGGGTGTAAAGTGGAACCATTAGATTAGATTAGATTGGAATGGGGCCTTCGGGCTATCTGCCTCCACACTGCGACCTTTTCAGATCTATTGTGCCTGCCCTCAAAATGGATTAGAGTTCTTCGGCTAGTCCCGCCTTCTCTATGAGACTCCATAGGCTAGCTTTCAGATCTCCTGTGTATCTCTGGGCTCCTGGTTTTTCCTCACCCAGCGTAAGGAACCTTAGTCTTGACAAGCCCTCACAGTGGCAAAGTATGTGTACTGCTGTTTCTTCCTCTTCTTGACAGAACCTGCACAGCAGTTCTTCAGTCAGACCTATCGTACTCATGTGTTTGTTGCGCCTACAATGCCCTGTGAGAAGTCCCACTAGTATTCTAGTTGAACTTCGTTTCTGGCTTAGTAGATATTCTGTGAATGTTGGCGATGGTTTTTTAATAAACTCTTTTGCCTGTCTCATTCCTGGCGAGTTGTTCCACCATTCTTGAGATTTAGTTTGCATCCATGATTTGATACTAGTCTTTTGTATAGCTTTCGCAATACCACAGAAGGGTTCTGGGCCATTAAGAGCTTTGTTTGCTCCTGCTCGGGCAAGTGAGTCTGCCTCTTCATTGCCCTCGTACCCTGTATGTGCTGGTACCCATGCTAGAGTCAATCTGTTCTGACTGCCCATTTAGGGTTTCTAAGCAGTCCCATACTAGTTTTGAGTTAACTTGCATAGAGTTGACTGCTTTGATTGCCGCCTGGCTATCTGAATAGATTGCAATGGTTTTGCCTTTCAACTCTTGCCTTATCAATTCTCTCACGCAATGATGAATTGCAATAATTTCTGCCTGAAACACCGTCGCGTATTTGCCTAAGCTCAGTGAGATTCTTGTCTTTGGCTTGGCCCCAAGTGGAACCATTACACTATGGTCTACATTTCCAATGCTGCCAGAACTCGAGAAATTTTTTTCTGATCAAAAGTAAGTCATATTATGATACACTGGGACCTCATCTCGGGACGTTTTCGTGTTCTCTCCTTAATTAGCTATTGGAACAAAAATTCGATTTTTTTTCGAAAGTCTTGCGTTTCTTGAATTTTTTCTCTAGAACTCCACTTGAGCTGACTATTGGGAAAAACATTTCTCATGTTTTATGGAGGGCAATGATAGACGAAAAAAGCAATATTATGGAATATACAGAATGATATGAAAATAGGACAACATCTCATTTCAGTAAAAAAATAAAAACTGGTGACTGAAACCGTGGCTCATTCGATTCAGTATAATATACTGTATCCAGTATATTCAGAAACGGCCATCTCGATATTCATTATTTATATTAGACTATCAACTCGAGACGTTTTTGAAAATTCGCCTCTAATTGAAATACAGGATGAAAATTTTCAATTCAAACTTGTTTCCTGATATCGATGATTTCCAATATTTATTGCCTAAGTATGATATATAGAGTATTGTTGTTCGATACACTGAGTGTTTTACAACTTATCTGACAAATTTCAACCAAAACTGCGATATTACATAAGAAGTCTATCACAAAAAAAATTATAGAAGTAAAACGAGATGGAAAATAAAATTTGTAACACTTTATATCCACTAAAACTATTCGAAAAGGGCTCTATTGGCGAAATATAAGTGACTTCTTCAGCATTATGAAGATCCAACTAGAATATTAGAATATATACGCATATGGAGGAACTTCTAGCTATAATTCCTTATTGTATGAGAAACTGTACTCCAGTGATGAGTATAAAGCATGAAGTTATCATTATTAAATTAAAGGTATACAATATACAGGAAGTAACATATCGGGTGTCAACTAATCTATTAGACAAGTCATAACTCCTAGACCATTAGGTGTATCAACATGAGATGTGGTATAGGTAAATGGTATTTGAAGAGGAGAGTTTTCACATATTTTTTACTTTCCGGTCACTTCCGGTTTCACCAGAAATGGCTCCGGTTCTGAATTTTCAAATGGAACACCCTGTATATTGTAACATTTTTTGATCTCTGAGAAAATTCCAGATCAGAATGTGACATTTTCGAAAGTTCCCATGCCCACTCAGCATTTTCGGAGTCACTCTCGAAATCACATCTAGAAAGTACTATATCCTAAATTTCAGTACTTGGTAGGCCTCCCCGATTGCGATTTTACTAGCACAAACCACGCCCACCGTAATATCTCATCTTCGAAGTACTTAGGCAAAACTCAGACACTATTTATTCTTAACGAACTAACCTATCACTGATTGCAATATTTGTGAGGAAGTAAAACCGAATGGAGTGTAGAAACACATTGATTAATAATATATTTCAAAAGTTGAGTTCTTCAACAAAATTGAATAAAATGAGACTGTTTATCCTAAACGCACTAACCTATTTGACTTCAAATATTTTATGAAAAAGGAAAACCAGAATGAAGTAAAAAAACATTGGTGAAAAAAAAAAGTTGCAAAAAAAAGTTCAAGTTCACAGCGATTCGAACCATGGACCTTCAGAATGAAAGTCGACAGCGCTAACCAGTAGACCATTTGGGTATATGAATTTACTGCGTACAAGAGATTGACAACGAGAGAGCTTCAGTCGAATTCGTGTCAAAATCATAAAAAGTGTATTCTTGCGTTGGAGCCCAGTATATTTAGTGCGATGTGCTGACTCCGAGTATATCGGTGATGTTTGGAGATATGACGTATTATGGTGCTAGCGTGCAGTATATTTAGTAAAATCGCTCCCCGATTTAACATAACCTCATGAAATCGGTTTGAAATAGATTCTATGAGGTTTTTGATGAAGTCTATTGATATTGCCACCCATTCTTCTGATACAGCTTGGATAAAGTCATTATTTTGGGGTGCCTCTCGCCTTCTCGATAATGCTGGTCACCACATCCTTCTAACATTATTGTTTTCTAGAGTTTGTAATTTGTCAGATAAGTTGTGAAACACTCAGTATATTGAACAACAATACTCTGTGTCTCATACTTGGGCAATAATTATTGGAAATCAGTTGATAAAATGATAAGAATCATCGATATCAGAGGAAACAAGTTTGAATTGAAAATTTTCATCCTGTATTTATATTATAGGCGAATTTTCGAAAACGTCTCGAGTTGATAGTCTAATATAAATAATGGATATCGAGAAGGTTCTGACTATACTGAATCGAATGGGTCATGGTTCTAGTCACCATTTTTGATTTTTTTACTGAAATGAGATTTTGTTCTATTTTCTTATCCTCCTGTATATTCCACATAAGTGCTTTTTTCGTCTTTCATTGTCCTCCACAAAACATGGGAATAGTTCTTCCCAATAGTCAGCTCAAGTGGAGTTCTAGAGAAAAAATTCAAGAAATGCAAGACTTTGAAAAAAAATCGAATTTTTGTTCCGATGGCAAATTAAGGATAAATCACGAAAACGTCCCAGTGTATCATAATATGACTGACTTTTGATCAGAAAAAAGTTTCTCGAGTTCTGGCAGCATTGGAAATGTAGACCTTAGTGTAATGGTTCCACTTTACACCCTGTGTAAGTTTTGTTCTGCGGACTTTTTCAGAGTGTTCTAGCTCTCTTTGAAGCCGATGAAACATCACATCTGATATCGAAAACCGCATGAAGATCGGTCAATTTTTTCAAAAAATACAGGTCTTCGAAATAGAGTCAGATTATGCGTGGTCCATTTAGTGTGTTGAGAAGAGTGGTCCATTTAGTGTGTTGAGAACTGTATATGAACTCAATTGTTAACATTATTTTCGATATTATAATGACGTTATATGTCTATGTCATGAATGTCATTGACTGATGACATTTAGAATTTTCGAAATGAAATTTTGATTTATAACATACTTGTTTTGTAATAATTTGTTAATATCGTTAAATTTGACACTCTGCTGAATAGAAAAATAGTTCAGTGGCACAAAATAGATGTTACACAAGGAAAGATTTATCGGACCTCTCTGTATTTCAATGCGGCCACGTTGGTAGCATTGCAGAGAGAGATGGAAGAGGAGAGAACTTTCCTCTCTCTCTCTCTCTCTCTCGTTCGAGCTAGAAAAGACCTCAATTCAATCAAATATGGGTAAAAGACCTATTTTATACAATCGAACAATTCTCTATAATGAATTACCTGCCAGACTGAAGAAAACATTAAGTGTTGAGAAATTCAAAGAAGAACTGAAAAAATACTTGTCTTCGATTCTCTTATATCATCCTGAATCAATTCAAGAACTTATATTCAACAGTCTCTATAAGAAACAACATTATATGTACTATATGTATGATTTAAGAATGATTATCTGATTATCTAATTATTTTATTTTTTTTTAGTTGCTCTTTCATAATTTTCCCTGCTGTAAACATATATGTTTCTTGGGAATAATAAAATTATTTTCAAGTACACAAAATAGGTATGGAATAATATCCTGGGGTTGTGCATCAAGAATTCATTTAGAAAGAGTATTTGTGCTACAAAAATTTGACATAAGAAGAATAGCATCAGCTAAGCTTGATGAAACTCGCAGACCACACTTAAAAACTCTCAAAGCAATGACATTATATGAGTTATTGTCTACGATTTGAAAAATATTTCACACACACAGATGTGCACCACTATAATAACACAAGAAATAAATGTAACCTTGTACTGAAAGCAAATAGTGAAAAAAAAAACGATAATATAGGTATCAAACGATTCGCGATATCCACGGAGTGAGCAACATCTACATTCATAAAGTTACACTATGAACTCCAGGGAAACAAACAAGTGAAACAAGTGGAAGGAAAGGTGTCAAAGTCATTGTTAAGATGGATTAATGTAAGTAATATCATTGTGGTGATATATAATCGAATATTTCCTTTCGTTTGTGAATCTCAATTTCATAAATTTTGTTCTGTACGGGAGGCGATTTTACTAAATATACTGCACGCTAGCACAAACCACGCCCACCATAATACGTCATATCTCCAAACATTACCGATATACTCGGAGTCAGCACATCGCACTAAATATACTGTGCTCCAACGCAAGAATACACTTTTTATGATTTTGACACGAATTCGACTGAAGCTCTCTCGTTGTCAATCTCTTGTACGCAGTAAATTCATACACCCAAATGGTCTACTGGTTAGCGCTGTCGACTTTCAGTCTGAAGGTCCATGGTTCGAATCGCTGTGAACTTGAACTTTTTTTTGCAACTTTTTTTTTTCACCAATGTTTTTTTACTTCATTCTGGTTTTCCTTTTTCATAAAATATTTGAAGTCAAATAGGTTAGTGCGTTTAAGATAAACAGTCTATAGGGATTCCCTTTCATGCGCTCCAATCGATAAAAAAAAAAGTCTCATTTTATTCAATTTTGTTGAAGAACTCAACTTTTGAAATATATTATTAATCAATGTGTTTCTACACTCCATTCGGTTTTCCTTCCTCAAAAATATTGCAATCAGGGATAGGTTAGTTCGTTGAGGATAAATAGCCTCTGAGTTTTGCCTAAGTAAAGTACTTTGAAGATGAGATATAACGGTGGGCGTGGTATGTGCTAGCGTACAGTATATTTAGTAAAATCGCGTACGGGAGTGTAATAATTATACATCAGAAAATAAATGTTTTTACTCATTCAACTGTTGTTATTTTATTTGTGTGATTTATGTGAAGGTTGATTTTAACGTGTACTAATGATATATTTTGAATTTAAATGTACTCAGAAAATGTGGAGATGAAATTCTATAACATGTAGGAAATTATGAATAATTAAAATGTAATTTTAAACAGATGATGTTAACGCAACAGGTAGCTAAGATTGTTCTGTAACCCATGACGTTTGCTGTGTCCATGTTGATCGTTTTCGCAATAAAGAGATTATTATTATTATCAATTCAAGCTCTAGTGGTATAATGAGTGGAAATGCATTGGGCCACTTCGGAATGGACGATTTCCATATTTTCAACATAAACACCATGACACTTTTTTTAAAAGTCGGACTATACCTGATGATAGACTTGTTGAGCAGCCGGTAGGCTTCGCGCACGTGCTTCGTTTGCACGTCGTCGGAGATGTCCATGCGTGCCATCGCTTCGGACAGGCGTACCATACTTTCGAGTTGTCGGACCGTGATGCGCCACGTGGATTTGCCGGTGCTGGTGCTGTCACGTAACCTGGAAACGGCGAGGAATAGGCAAGAATACTAATTTCTAGTAAAAATACTGTTACGCTATTTGGGTGCAGAATCGAACACGACACTAATTATTTTCGGACTGATTCATTTCAACAAAAGGAACACTAATTTATATCGAACTTACTATTTATGTAAAATGATTTATATCACGCGGTATATGACTGACTCTCTGACACTCGCTGCTTGACTGACTGACAGCAGTTGTCCGGCCGTTTATATATGAGATCCCTTGGTAGGCTTTGCTTCTCGAACGTTCACGAATGATCTTCCGTACCGTACTGTGAGAATGACATTTCATTTTCAAATTTTGTGCATGATATTTTGTCAGTGTTGGCAATGAAAGAATATTTAATTTGATATCCCGAATTAGTTTCAACTTGGGCTACATTCTGCGTAAAATTGTCGATTCATTGGTAATTGGGAAACCCATGTATTAAATCCCTGGTGATTGGTCAGTTTTAGGAAATTGAATAAATCTCATTGGTTCTTAGAATAGGCGTGTATTAATCCGTATCGAAGTACGATATACATTTTTTTGTATGAAGTACTGACATTATTTTGGCTCACTCAATCATTTACGACATGACCTTTCCGGACATCCTGTATATTATTATTATTATTATTAACACCAATACTCATTGATGAAGAAAAAGAAGATATTTACCTCAGCCTGTTGTAATATTGCACCAACAAATCTCCTGCTTCTTTGCTGATGATCGGCTTGAACTTCTTTGCGAAGCTGATGTACTGCAGCACCTAGAAAAATCGCCGTATTATAAATTGCCTCGCGAAAAAAAACGACCACTGTACCAATATACTCATATTAAAACCTGAATAATACGAAGGCGTAGAAATGACATGCGGCATTACAATGGTATTATAAAGACACTAATTTCGTGTCGAAATCAGCACCAAGTTCAATCAAAACTAGAACTCATTTCAAGTTACTACTCAACTCAGATCCTCATTTCATGTTGAAACTCGAAATTACCTCAACTCAAAATTAATACTCATTTTAGAACATTATGGAATAGTATTGAACTTTCTCACTTTATTATCGAACCTTCTGGACATTGTTATATTCTAAAACATTCTGGAACCTTTTGAAAGAATCTATATCACCTGGAAAATCCCAAAATATTCCGAATCATTCTAAAGCGTTCTCAAATACCCTGGAAGATTCTAGAACACTTTGTAATATTTTGGAGTATTTTTGAACTTTTTGTAAGATTCTAGAACCTCCTGCTTCAAATACATCGTGTTTCTACGCCCTACTCGACGTTGTTATGCAGGTCGAGGATGACGTAATCCGAGACAATATCACTATCATCAATATTATTATCTATCTCTATCTCCTGTCAAATTGATTCTAGAAACTTTCTAGAAAAATCTCGAATTTTCCATAACATTCTGAAATATTCTAAAACACTCGAATATTCTGGATGATTCTAACACATCCTAGACAATTTTAGACATAGATTTATTACTGTTAATATACATGGTGTATTTACAAAGGTCATGGTCGATTATGCTAGCCCAGATAACAAATAATATTTTTAAATATAAATCAAAAATGGAAGATGAAACAAGTTCATTTAACACGTTGAGCGCCATGAGCATCCCAAGGGACCGTCAGCTCATGGTTCACTTAGACCGCGTAGGGCCACACGGACCTACACTATGTTACCATTTGTTATATTAATTTTGGGTCGTTGGGACTCTTCGATGAAGTGTTTGGATGGTATGGGTGGACCGTCACGATCTCTTAGGATAATAATTTCTACACGAACAACGAAATTTTTGTTTACATGTGAATGTGGTCCCTAGGTTTGAAAAACACTGTCGAAATATAAATAAAAATTTTCTTTATTGAATTTCCGGTAATGAAAAGAAGAGAATTGAACTATGAAATGGAATGAAAGTATAAAGATAACTTCACATTTATGCGTCAAAAAACAGTTTTTAGTGTAATAGATTGAAACAATCTAGGCAAAGTGCTGGTTCTCCCTCGCAATCATCACAATACTATGTCCACACAGTGAAACTAGGACGAACAACACGTTGGCAGTCGACTCGGTGTCTATTGTTGCGTTGCAGTGGTTTTTACGGCGAAAGAGTTCGTTTACTTCATTGAACAGCGGGACCAACGGTCCAGTAACAGCATTTCATAGTATGGTGGACCGCGTAGGTCCTATGGGACCTACACCTCATGTGCTTACATAATATTTTTGTTTTGAAGAATATCACAAAATGGTTCACACACCACTTATATATGCTCAATATCTATCAAAAAATCATTTCGGCACAAAACGACTTTTTTTAAAATTTGGCTTGGCGCTCAACGTGTTAAGAGAGAGAGAGAGAGAGAGAATAAGCTGTATTGTCAGAAGATGTAAAATATTATTGACAAAGTAAGTCAAAATAATAAACCTAAAAACAATTAAAACTTGTACTAGAGGAAATCGCTATTATAACACCAAAACATTTTAGAATCTATTTGGAATTTAAACACTCTTATAAGCTAGTTCATAAGACACATTACTAAATATTTAAATATTCCTTTTAAAAATGATCTAATGGTTAAAATGTATCATTGAAAGACTCTTGTACACTATAAAAGGGTTCTTCCGAAAAGAGTGTATGTTCTATCAATAAAACACATATAAATCATAGATAGAAAAAAAAAAAACATGAAATGGAATAAAAAACATGAAATACATTGAGAAACAAACTCTTGTCTAGGTGATGCTTATTATACCAGACTCTACCTCATCTAGAGATAAAAATGCATTATTCATTAGGAATTCCTTGATTCTATTTTTGAAAAGTGTCACTGTTAAGGCCCTTATAATGGTTGGTGAAAGATTGAATAGCTGAATGCCATAGTGGTTAATTCCTCTTTGTCCCTTAGCTAGTCTATAGGTCGCGTGCACGAAGACCGACCCTGGAGGCAAAATATTGAAACACAACCTCATTCTTCTGTGAATTATTGAAACACAACCTCACTTTTTTATTTGGTTACAGAGGAATCAAAAGGTTGAAATAGTTTTTCACAATATTTTGGCATACGAATCGTGTTTCTTGCGTTATTCATCAATTCAAGCATGCCTTCGCATTGTGCTGTTGTACAATGCACAAAAAATGCAGCAAGAGACTAGGGAATATGATTTTTCAGGTAAATAGTCATCTCACATAGTTAGCATTATGAAATGTTGTCATTCCTTATCAAAATTCCTTCTGCCTTCTGCCACTTCTGCAATACAAGCTAATGCTGCTAATAGATTGAAAATGTCTACAACACACACGATCGTCAGCATGTCAGGCAAGTCCTACCGATTGATTGCATGAATCCAATCTTCTTGCATTATTCTAGAAATTTCAGATATATTTCTATTAGCTGATCCTATTGCAGAAGGAATTCCGATGAGAAATCAGAGAAATAACCAAATTTCAAAAATGAAAACTATGTGAGTGACTATAGTAGGTACTTACTTTTGAATCATAATGTACCATCCGGATTTCTTCATCTTCCGCCGCAGTTTTTGTGCATTTTACAACAGCACAATGTGATGGCATTAGCGAATTGATGAATAGCGGAAAAATGCGATTCATATGCCAAAATAATTGTGGAAAACTATTTCAATCACTTGTAAACAAATATGTTTTGCCTCCAGGGTCGGTCATCTGACAGTTCTTGCACGCGACCTATTCTCGGTAGTCAAGGCCAGGTTAGGTTAGGTTGCGATGACATAAAAACTACGGAAAAACATTCCAAAGTCCTGGCTTAGTTTGGGTTCCCGTAATTTTTATGTCATCGCAACGTCAGATGATGACCTTGGCTACCGCGCATAGTAATCTGGAGAGATATTATTTCTGAATCTAGTTTCATGATTATGTAACTCAGCATGAGTTTAAAGTTATTTATATGTTTGTGGACGATGATGATGATACATTGCAGTGCACAGACACACAGAAGTGTGAGTATTCTTTAGGTAATGAAAGTATTCTTTGTATTGTCTCTGTACCTTTATTCCCTATTATTCTGACTGTTTTTTTTTGAAGACTAAATATTCTGTTTATTCAAGTGGAATGGCTTCATGCTAACATTGCACATCATAGTTGTGAGTCAATTAGGGAAAAATATACATTCCACAAAACCTCAAATACAGATTGTGACATAGACATTTTTTGCTAATGGACCTATCAACCAATCAGTGTAGGAAGTCCACCTTAGTTCAGGATCAATACGAACTCCAAGAAATTGACAGCTAGAGTGTTCTCAAACTCTCCTGAATACATTGAGAGGATTTGGAAACATTCTAGTGCATTTTTTAACATTCAGGAAGGTCCTACAATCTCCTAAAACACCCGCAAAAATTCTCGAACCGTCTGGAGGATATTTTTTGATTACTTGGACATTCCAGACCACTATTGAATATTCTAGAAGGTTCAAGAACATTTTAAAACATCCGCGAACATTGTCGAATCGTTTGGAATATACATTCTTATTACTTGAACGTTCCAAAGCATTCTCGAACATTCTGGAAGATTGAAATATTTTGGAACATTCTCGAATCTTTTGAAACATTTAATAACACATTAGAACACTTCCAAACCGCCTGAAACTACGTATTTCAATAGGCGAGCTGAAAATACGTATTTCAGTAGGCGAGTGTTTTTTTTTTATTTCTTAAATATAATCGTCACTCAAATACCTTTTAATTTAATATTTTTTCAGAATTTTTCGTTCGATTTTAAGGTGCTAAAATCAACAATAATGCCACGATGATTTTCAAACGACTAGAAATTTACCGCGAGTAAACACTGACGTCACAATTTGGTAAGTAGGGACAGACCATAGCACAGTTGCCATAAATTGAAATACAATTGGAACTTCAGAAATATCAGTTATTCTATAATTCATAAATTCTCAATTTTGTATTGGTTATTCCTAATTAGTCCTAAAAAAATCAATTGTCTCCAAATATTCCCTCATCTGTTGTGGCTTATTGCTCATCATACATTTGTGTTTATAATAAAATCATTATTTTAATTCAAACTAGAGGACATTGGAGGGTAAACGTGAGAACACGGCGCACTCGACGACGCACGAATTGTGGTTGTCAGTTCTCAGCATTCAGCACATTGTTGCCAAGTCTTTAACATCAACATGATATTTTGCTATGGAGTATAAGAGATATTTGGACATGCTGCTTGCTCAAAAAAGTCAATAACGAACTATAATATCATGGCTTCCACATATTGTGTTTTATCTCGTGTTTTATTCAATGACAGGACTCCAGTTTTTTTTGATAAATTGATTATAATTGGTAACTTGACAACCTTGCTTCATGAGTGGAAATGGAAGATTATCTCACCATTTATTCGACGTATCGCCAAATGGCCGCCATGACGGTACGTATGAAGAGAGCTATGAAATTTAACAATTTTGAACCTTGCTAGACTCATTCAATGGGCAAACAACTCTTTAAATATGGTGTACACCCTCAACTTTCAATATTTAAATACTTTGAATTATTTTAAATATCTATTTATTGATTTTTCATTCTCTTCAGTACATTTCCATTATCTTAATTACCGTTTGAATACTTCAAATACTCTAAATACTTTTCAACTCCTTTTAAATTAATTTAAATCCTTCATAATTGTTTCAATTATATCAAGAATGCACGTTGAAATCTTTTGCGATTGGTCAGGTCGTTGACTTATCGACGGCTTGTGATCGAGAGTGAAGGAATGCGAATTTTGACGATGAATCATAACCTCGGACCCCGAAATTTCTCAAGCTTGACCTTGATCGATATATCTGGCCCCACGAGAGGATAATGAGGTGGTCGAAAATACTTATATTTTTCATTTTTGAACATCCATTCATCCTAACAGGGGCAATTAAGCATGAAATAGATAAGTATAAAACTATGAAAAAATCATAAAAATTTGTTTCAATAATTTATTTTTATTATTTCATCACAGATAATGCACAAAAATCAGGGGACAACGAGCATGGATTCAATCAATGATATGCCTTATGTATTTTTGACCAAAAAATCCACAGTAATATTTTTTCTCATGAAACTGACAGATTTCCAATTTCTCTTCGATTTCTGGGGTGAAAATGGGGTAAAGATGATGCGACGAAATCAGGGGACAGCATGATTTAAATCTGTCTGCTTTGAGAAATAAAATCATAGGAAGAAAATTTTTCCCTATGAAAATGACAGATTTCCGATTTGCTCTTCGAATTTGGAGGTGATTTAATAACTCTATTTTTATTCTACGACTGCTTGGCGTCCTTATTGATGGAAACACCTGTTGCAAGGAGATATTTAATTTTTTTTAAATATTGAATATTTTCCAATGCCCATTAATTATTCGATAATTCTATCATTGATAAGATTCTGAAGGTAGTTGAAGAAAAAAAATGAGATACATGTATTTTTTATAACTCAAATTCTATGATGCCATATCATTGGGATAATCCTGAACAATTGCATGATGTATATAAATGCAGTTTGGTCAATATAAATCATAATTTAGAATGAAATGTTGTGAAACTATGTCTGTCCTTAGTAAGGCATAATCTTCATTAGGTTTTGCAAGTTCAAAAGTCATTCCAATATTGTCCAAGATATGCCCACCAGAGACATTGGATATGTAGAGTTTGAAATTATTGTTTTCATATTTGTTTATGGATATTGAACGATAAATAGCACCACATAAGCAATTCAGATCAACTGAACCATAAACAAAATTCTATGTTGTATTTATCTTCAATACACTCCGAGCGCCAGATGATGCCATATGGCATCATGATAACATGATAAACATGAGTTTTACTTACTGTGTAATGGGTTATTTCAATGAAAATCAGCAAAACTGTCACTTTCGAATACAAACGTACGTAGGTACGTGTTTTGCAATCACCACTATTCGCCATTTGCAATACACAAAAACTCCGCAATGATGCATCCTGTGAAGTATGAAACCACATTTTTGCATGAATTCCGACATTTAGAGTATCTAGGTATAACTTGAGTTGCAGAACTCTGTGATGCCGAATGATCTGAGCGCGCATATACGTGGGTAAAGTATATGATGCCAAATGGCATCACTGGGCTTGAAAGGGTACTCTCAAATAGCTTTTAAATATTTCCATTACTCACGAATACCAAATATTTTGAATATGGTGTACACTTTTATGGGAGTTGTTTGCCCCTCGGACTCATTATTTACATAAAAATACCATGACAAATGTTACAAGAATTAATTTAGGTCCCTAAGGACACAGTGGAGTAATTGAATGCCAATAATTCATTATCAGTCCACTCGCCCATTACCTCTTGTTTTGAGTACACCCGTTCGACGCTTTCTTCGACGTTGCAGTGCAAGTCAAGGATCTTCTTAGCTATGGCGTAGTCGACCATCTCGTTGCACTCGTCGACGAGGATGAAGAAGAGATCGAAACGGGACATGATCGGGGCAGACAGCTGTACGTTCTGTTGGAGGGATTTGGCGCGGTCGTAGCGGCCACCAATCGGATTGGCTGCCGCTAAGATGGACGTTCTCGCGTTCAAGGTCGCTCGCACGCCTACGGGAAAGGAAAAAAAAAACATTCAAAATAAATATCCTCAGATGAATTATGAACATGGAAAAATGGATATACAGGGTTTCCGATATACAGGGTATTCGATATACAAGGTGTCCGATATACAGGGTGTCCCATAAGTCATGGACCAAAAGTAGTGGGGTGGTAGGGGGGGGGTTTATTTCCAATCAAAGTAACCGTATATGGGGTTATCTAATTGTTGATGGTTCAAGAGTTATTATTGTTTTTTCATTTCTATTAAAACAATTAAAATAAAACTATGTCACATTTGTGATTGTGGATGCACCATTCCCAAGAAATATTTTTATGACATGTATTACTTCTTACCAATTACCTGAGAAAAATGTTGTTTTCCTTAGTTTTGTCTTCGAATGAAATATTCGAGTTGATTTTTAAATGCCGCTGGCAGATTTAAAAACTACCCTACAAAGATAATCAATCATAAGAAAAAGTTGCCCATTTGATACAGATTCCGAAATGATATAACATAATATGGCGTTATTCAAAGCAGCCTTTTTGTTATTAATTTTTTTCAAATGGGTCGCATTTATAGAAAAATTGAATAACTTTTGAACCATTAACAATTTGATAACCACATATACCGCCAGTTTTATTACAAATGACCCCATCTACCACCCCACTTATTTTGATCCATTATTTATGTATATGTAAAGAAATTCATTAAGAATTCGCATTCTCTGTGATCAAAATATCAATTCTTTCTCGGATATTTTTTTGATACCTTTAGTTGCAGATTTAATGACGTATCTTCTTACTTTAAAATCAGTTCAATATTATTATATGCTGACGATATATCTCAAATTGGAGGGACCCTCCTCCTCAACTCATCTTCGAGAGGATTTGGACAGGTTCTGTGTTTGGTGCTACAAAAAAAACTAGTTCTGAATATTCTCAAATGTTAATATATTCGTTTCAGCAAGAATCACAGCATGATTAACAATGATGAGTACTCATTGAATGATGTGGTCATTTAAAATGTAGACATTATGAAAGATCTAGGTATACTTTCAGAGTCTAAATACCATCAACAAAGAACTGTTATAATTTGTTGCGTTGAAATCCCTTTACTTTTCATTTGAACGCTCCCAACTTGAAAATAGCGGCTCTGTGTGGTGTCCTGACTTCCAAGCTCATATCATGAAAATAGAAAGAGTTCAGGAACGTTTTTTGCGTTATATTGGTTCCAAGCTCGGTATTCCTAGGGAGGAATTTGATTATGACAATATTTCAAATTGCCTGAACATAAAAATCCTGGAAGAACGTAGAAGCAACACTGATATCATCACTATTCAGAAAATATGTAATGATCAGATTGATAGTCCTGAATTATTGGCCTTCCTCAAATTTCATGTTCCTCAAAAACGATTACGTTATAGCAGCACATTCAATTTAGAAACTCATATAACTATATATTCAAACAATAACCCGATAAACAGGATGATGACGCTGAGTAACGGAGTGAACTGGGACATATTCAACACTGGCACTGAAAGAGCCAAACGCATTCGTGCACTAATGTAATGTCTTTATATTTAATGTACATTGTATTCAATGTTTATATACAGGCTGATTTTAAAATGAGTGCATGTATTCAAGACATATATATGAGAGAGTCTAACAAAAATTACTAAAATATTTGATTTTTCCTAAGTCTTCACATTAACGAGAAATTTCATTTTGAAAATTGAACATAAAATGCTTCGAAATTCGAGTACGCCACTGGGAAGCAAGTGAAATCTGCGGAATCCCAGGGAATCTCCAATTCGTCATTCACTAACGTCAAAACAAGACAGTTCATATTCGCACTTAAACCATCGAAAACGACTCGACGACGACATATCCTTCCTGGCAATCTCACATTGAAAAGCACGAACACGACCATATCACGATTATCACGACACAAGACACAACATCCAATTATTTTATTTTTTATTTTACGTTTACAATTATTTTACAAACCAGCAACCACACAAACAAAACTATTATCATATGATCTGTCAACATCATTTCTCAGAACAGCAGTATCTGTGACCATAGATTTCCTCTTTGCTGTGACCTTTGACAGTACTAACTAGGATTGTTCGCGTTCTATTACTATTTCACGAAGATTGCTACGATATTACGATTTGTCATGAATCTATTACTATTTGCTATTAGCACCAAAATATGTTCCAATACTAAAAAATCTATTTCTGTGCTCAGCGGATAATTATGTTCCGTTCTATGTTCTATATTTATGTCAAAACTGTGATTAGTGCCATAGGGTTTGACAAGAATGACATTCCGAATGTCAAATGTCAGATTTTTCGAGTCTATTACCTTTTGATACAAATCTGATACCTTTTTCCAAGGAAATCTATTACGAAAAAATCAGACCCAGGAACAACACTGACTAGTAAATGTAAAGTTTTGTTTCTGACAATTTGCTTGGAATGTGACGATGCATTTCTCAAACATTGAGATGAATGATATGGTTCTTATGTCGGGTCGTTATTGTGCGGGGCCCATGAGACTCCTCGAAAGACACGAAATTGTAGCGATGCAAGGAGGTGGAAGGAAGGGTCTAAAGGATTTTTCAGTAAAAGAACTTCCAAGGGGAGGTGTTAAGCTATACGCTATTCGAGCCTATGTGTACAAATCTTGGGTGAGTCCATTTTAAAGTTTTTGTATTATCTTTCTGAAATTCAAGACCAGGGTTAACTTCTTCCCCATGTCGTTGATTGATATATTACGCTTACGCTGGGAAGATGCCCAACCTTATGGGGCAAAACGAGGTCCAAAAAAATCTCACACCTAGATGGCGTACCATAGTTCGAAATCTCACATAGTGGCGGCGATAGTGTCGAACGATGTCGGAGCAATACTTCGTAATTTGACTGGCAGGTGCGCCACTTACGAAGAGAATCTATTGGAATGCAGATGGCGTGCGACTTGGAACAATTCAAGGTTGGTAGTTCTACCAACCTTGGAACAATTAAACAAACCATAATCCAGAACGCTTAATCAGTACGATTCTAACTGATATGGCGGTAAATTCGAATTTGTTAGTGATAGTTGTACTGGATGTGCTTCTAACGAGCGCATCACGGACGTGAGATCATGAAAAAAGTTTATAGAAATCGAATTGGAGTGAATCACAAAATTTAATGTCTCAACAATAAATGCTTCCATTTTTGGCGACTGTGGAATAAACTGGTCAGCGGATATCAATATATAAGCTGCTCATAAATTTGATTGAAATTCACGAACCCGGACCAGTGTTGTCACCTTGTGTGTGTATTTTACCCTAGAACTGAATCTAAATAATGGGTCTGTTTGAGTGGAATTTCATATTTCATTATGTCGAATTATTACTATAATTCACTGTCGCAAATCATTTTCTTGTCAGAGCTATGTACAATTTTTGACATTTTTATTATTGAAATTACTGATATTTATCACATGAAAAACGTGGAACATTACGTGACAATTCTATTCCGCTATCAATCCGAAGTATTTTATACTGGTATACAGTGTGTCCCACTTATTACCATGCTCACCATGGGTATCTTTTTAACGGTGAGAGATACGAGGTCGGTTAAATGACACCAAATGTGGAGTTTGTCAAGGCCAACTATAATGTGAGAAAATATTTCGATGAAATCTATGCGTTTTTGTTTCATTCGCAAAAAACAGATTTTGATCATTTTCTTGTCTCCTCTGTAGCTTCTTTATTTATGAAAATATTCAAATAGGAATTTCACATTCTCATGGCAGTTTTTCAAAGTGATTTCGAAAAGAATATGAAATTTATACCAAGTCTTCTAGAATTTGAGATATCAGCAGTATCAGCACCAACTTTAGTTTTTCAAATGTAGGTCATATATGACTTAGTTACAAATCACTTTTTTTTGTCTCACAGATGATATGTCGCAGAAATAGTTTTGTGTTGATAACAACGGAGTTATCGTCATTTATACAAAAACAGAAAAGTATTCAGAAGCCGCCATCTTGAATTCATGAATTTTAACAAAAAAATCATGATCTCCGACCTCAAAAACCCCCACTTACCAATTTTGAATGGAATCGCACAAAATCTTGTCCGCCATCTTATTGAAGCAGCCATTTTTTTTTATTTCAACAAAAATTCCGTAACTCCGATTAACTTGAAATTTGGCAGGTGTTGATAATTTCGGTGAAAATACATTATGGAATTTTTGTTGAAATAAGAAAAATGGCTGCTCCAAGATGGCGGACAAGATTTGGTCCGATTCCATTCAAAATTGGTGAGTGGGGGTTTCTGAGGTCGGAGATCATGATTTTTCTGTTAAAATTCATAAATTCAAGATGACGGCCTCCGAATAATTTTTCGATTTTGTATAAATGACGATAACTCCGTTGTTATCAACACAAAACTATTATTGCGACATATCATCTGTAAGAGAAAAAAAAGTTATTTGTAACTAGGTCATAGTGAGCTATGACCTACATTCGAAAAACTTAAGTTGGTGCTGATATCTCATATTCTAGAAGAAATTTCATATTTTTTTCGAAATCACTTTGAAAAACTGCCATGAGAATGTGAAATTCCTATTTGGATATTTTCATAAATAAAGAAGTTACGGAGGAGACATGAAAATGATCAAAATCTGTTTTTTGCGTATAAAACAAAAACGAATAGATTTTATCAAAATATTTTTTCACATTATACCTAGTTGGCCTTGACAAACTCCACATTTGGTGTCATTTAACCGACCTCGTATCTCTCACCGTAAAAAAGATACCCATGGTGAGCATGGTAAGTGGGACACACTGTATATGATCAGACCTATGTATGGCCGAAACTTGGAGTGCCAATAATTTCCTTTGACTTTTGTGGGGCGGCTGACTCGGTGCGTTTGTCGGCGATAGGGCTGCCAAGCCGTCGTTTGTCGCCCTATGTACATCCTAGGGACTTCCCAGAGACGTCCCTAATTTTATACAAGGACATCCCAGAGATATCCTTTGCCGGGACAGAGTACATACTAGGAACGTCCCAGGGACATCAGCTGGCTGACAAAAAGCATCCAAGGGATTTCCGTCTGGTACGTCCCTGGGATATCAACCAAGAACGAAGAAAGGATATCCCTAGGAGGTCGCAAGGATATTCCAGGGACATCCCTTCGACAAAAAAAATGTAGGTCGATCGACTAGGGTTTGAACCCGGGACCTTTAGCTTATCAGGCACGCACCTTACTCCATTGAATGATATATATGCCTTCTGAAGATTTATGTGCCAAACAGATTTTTAAATAGGACTGAACTGCAGAAACCTGAATAAATACAACTTTGTTAGGATTTGAGTATACCAGCTAATTATTATTATCATTCGTGGATATTTAAAAATGAGGGGCATTATGCATTTACGATTTCTGTTTGCGAAAAATGGTCATTTCTTGAGAAGTTCTGAGACAATTTTCTTTATTTTCATTACAATTATTTACCGGAAAAAAACCAAACATTTTCATGAAAATTCAACTCAATATTTTGATGAAAGTCAATGACTCTGATGTGAATAGATATCGCAGATATTCCAGGGACACGGAAAGGATAACCTATGGATGCACCGGGCCGGATGTCCACTGGACAACCACTGCGGGACATCCCCTGGATTCCCCAATTATGTCCTTGTACCGTGTGACAAAAAGGGTACGTACCTAGAACATCCCTGTGTTGTTAGGGCGGAGATTCTGAGCGTTCCGTAGTCTGTACTCCGTTGTTCTGGAGCGGCAAAATCGATTCTACTCAGAAAAAGTTACTGGTATCACAAAATATCAACGCCGATTTCATGATTATTATATATCGTGGCATATGTGGACTGGAAATGTAGCTGTTTTCTGTTGAATTTGTTTTTATCTCTTCAAATATACCAAAAAAGAACTCATATTTTGCAGCTTCAACTCTTGTAATCCAATAAATAAATGAATTCTATATATTATGTTCCAATAGTTATGACTCACTCTGTATATTATGCCTATATAGATGATGACGTATTTTATTTCATTTTTATAGTGAATCATTAACAATCAAAGATTCAAAGATATCTGACTATTTATTTTCTATCTACTGATGAGACTCTAAGAAATTATTATCACATTCAGATTAATTATATTATCAATATTTTGTAATGTCTTATTAATACAAAACTTTAATATGGATACAAATTGAGTGAAAAAAATTTTCAACAAGAAGGCGTGAGATGTTTTTCCAGATATACATATAATATTGGTCTAGTTATTCACAAGGGAATTGAAAAAAACGCCACGGAGTAGGAACCCAACTGAGTGGGAGATCATATGTTCTTCTCTCTTCCGCAAGGAACCGAGGGAAAAATCAATACTCGCAACCCGTTGTCACAGTTCCGTTGTTATTGTTGCGGATTGCGCGGATTCCCCATATACGTCCATGGGATTCACCGACCGTAGCAAACATTTTTTATCGGAACCGGTCGGGCGCGTCGGGTCTCATCGTAGAAGACAAGGATAAACAAAAATTTCTGGAGCGATAGCACGCGGTAAGATGGGATCTGTAATTCTGTACAAAATTGTAGTAATCTGTACAATTAGTTCAGACATGTTCTGTGTGCCTAGTGGAGTTGCTACCTCACAGTGGCTAAACGATAGACGAGGGGATGAGCGGGGCATCGACTCGAAAATATAACACAGGTTGGGCATCTTCCCAGCGTAAGCGTAATATATCAATCAACGCCCATGTACATTTTCTCGATTATACATTTTATTTAATATCTCCTAATTGTCATGTAGAGTGGCAACGTCGCTTCGTTCATCACGGTCGACTGCGGATCGCAAACGATAGTTGTGACAGAAGTAGAAATCTGGGCGGAAAAAGGGTATTTTGCCCCAAATCTATTTTGATCCTAATATTTTTAATGGTGCTATTCGGTAGTATACCTCAAGCTTTCTTAGTGTTTAAAATATATGCACTTATTTTAGATTTAGCCTGTATGTATAAATGTATCTTCATTAATGTTCTGTGATATGTTTAGGAATCTGTTGTATAGGCTAAATAATTATGTTTTTTCTTACACTGAGTTCGTCCGTCAATAAATGAATAAATAAATGTATTAGTATAGATAATAATAATCGGTGTTACTATTTATTGAGAACAAAAGAACGAAGCTTCAATAGGCCTGCTAGAAAATGTCAAACATTTTGTAGATTTTTATGTATGTATTATTTGATATTGTGAATTCAATAAATCCTATTCTATTCTACTAATGTATGCATACCTGCTTTCGCAATGGAGATTGTCTGCTGTTCCATCGCCTCGTGAATGGCCACTTGGTCCCTGGGGTCCATCTTGTCGAACTCGTCAATGCAACAAACACCGTTATCGGCCAACATCAGCGCCCCCGCCTCGATCACGAAATCCGAGGACTCTTCGTCTTTAACCACGGCGGCTGTCAAACCGGCGGCAGTCGACGCCTTTCCAGACGTGTACACGGCTCTAGGAGAGAATTCCGACACCTGAAATCGATCAATCACTTTAATCTTCAATGGAGTCGAATTGCAAGAGTACAACCAGTTCCAAAAAAAGGCAAAAAGACCCTACCTAGCAACTACAGACCGATCTTACTGCTATCTATTATTTCAAAGATCATGGAGAAAGCTATCAACATCGAGCTCATGAAATACCTGGAACATTCAGGTATTATCAACGATAGGCAATATGGCTTCCGTCATCAGAGATCAACTGGTGACCTCAGAGCCGGAACTAGGATTCTAGCGCCTGTGGCAAACTTTCAAAATGCGCCCTTGAAGAAATTCAGTTTTCAATAAATACATGTTATTTATAATTGACATTTATTGAACATATTTTGAAGAACTTTTTTATTCACAATAATTTATTTATTTATTTATTTATTTATTTATTGACAGAAAAACATACAGGTGCTGAACCTAATTACATGTTTTCATTTCCTAAAAATAAAACTAAAACTAAGAACAAAATCGTGAATTTTGGTAATTTCTAGGTATTTTAATACACAGTTATTATGTTATTGGAATGAATTAAAAAAATATATCATATTGTTATATTACTATAATGATGAGAATATATATATATATACTCGATACATATGCATTATTATGTTATATCTTATTATAATGAAATTGATTAAATTAAATAAATAAATCAATCTGTAGATTCTGAACGTAACATTCAGAGTTGATTTGGGAGATAAGCAAGGGAGGTGAAGATTAATTGAATGGAGGTAGGAATAATTTATGTAGTTCCTTCCTGAGAGTTGACACGGAAACAGTAAATATATCTACATGATTAAGTGTTTGTAGATATTTGTTGACAAGGACACACATTTTATCCATTGGCAGGGGTATTCTGGGAATATGAAATATTATATTTTTTGGTCGTAGTCTTGGAATGTATAGCTTAAGACAGGATAACAGGTATTCACAGTTAATTTTATATGTCAACAGCTTATGAATAAAGCTTATTTTCTGCGCGTATCGTCTATGTTCAAGCTTCAATAAACTGAATTCATTTCTAAGAGGGTCATAAGACGAGTCATAAGATGAGTGATTTGGGGATCTACCATATTTTTTGTAATATAAAAACGAGATGAATTTGTTCTGTACAGTTTCCAGACATTTTTTCAACTTGTTTTTACCTGGGTCCCAGATTATTGCTGCAAATTCCAGTCGACTTCGAACAAAGGTGAAATAAAGCGTTTTTATCGTACGAATATTCTTAAATTCGTAAGTAGATCGCTTAACAAATCCTAACATTTTTTGTGCTTTTCGTACAGTTTTCACTATATGTTTTTCGAATGTTAAGGACGGTTCAAAGGTGATTCCCAAATCCACAATTTCGTTGCATCTTTCCAGCTTTTGATTATTAATAAAATAACTGAACTGTTGAACATTTTTCGACTTAGAAAAACTTACCACGCAACATTTATTCAGATTCAGATGCAGTCTATTTTTTTCACACCAATCATGAAGATGAAGAAGATCGTTTTGTAATAGTTCATAATCAGACTGATCAGTGATTTTCCTAAAAATTTTACAGTCATCTGCGTACAATAGACAATGACTTGATATGTGATCAGAAAGATCATTGATGAACAATAGAAATAAAAGGGGGCCCAAGTTGGAACCTTGAGGTACACCGGACTTTGCAAGGAATTTATCAGATTCCTTTCCTCTATAAGAGACGAATTGAATTCTATTGGAAAGATAGCCTGTCAACAGTCCTATAAGTGACTCACTGAAGGAATACATACGAAGTTTACTAATTAGGATAGAATGATCGACTTTGTCGAATGCTTTTGCAAAGTCCGTGTAAATAGTATCCACTTGTGCCCCTCTCTCTTCTATTACGTTGGTGACAGTTGTTAGGAAAGATGATAAATTCGTTTCAATTGATCTTTTTGCATAGAAACCATGTTGGGACACTGAGATACTGTTTTGTACATGCCAGAAAATTTTTTGATATAAAATAAATTCAAAGAGTTTGGCAATACCATTAAGTACGGCAATAGGTCTGTAGTTTGTGATTGAGGTTTTCTCATCTTTTTTGTGAATGGGTGTCAGTTTGACCTCCTTGAATATGTGCGGAAATATTCCCGTTCGTAGTGAGTTCTGAAAAATTATCATTAGCGGGTACATTAAGTAATCCTTGCACGCTTTAATGATATAGGACGGTATGCCATCGGACCCAGAAGATTTTTTTGGCTTAAGTTTTCGAAAAGCATATTCCATATCGGAAATTGTAATGTGTGATATTCTCAAAATTTCTCCGATTCTCACTTCGTTTTCATCATAATTATTACTTACTGAAGCATCTTCGTTAACCGAGGCGAAATAGTCTGCAAAAGCTGAAGCAATTTGATCAGGATCACTTGTTCTTCCGTTTTCAAGAGAGAATTGAGAATTTGTATCCCTTCTTTGCTTTTTAGAGTTAACAAAATTCCAAAATTTTTCTGGATTCTCTATGAGGTTAATTTCCGTTTTTTTTAATGTAATCATTATATGCACTTTTTATGTCTCGTTTCAATTCTGCCCTGAGCCTTTTATATTCATTTATAAAATATACCGATTGATTTTTATGTTTCCTACAGTATTCTTTTTCCCTTAGTTTATTTTTAATTTCTATGGAAAACCAAGGAGGGAAATTTTTTCTCCGATTATTTATTTTGATTCTTGGAACACAAAGATCAATAGCTTGCTGAAGGATCTCATAAAGATATTTAACTTGTTCATTGACATCTTCCAAATACCCTATTGGCGTCCAATCAACATAACTCAGATGATTACACAACTCCAAAAAATTTGCCTTTTTGTAATTATATTTGTTTTCTAATGAATTTTCAGATTTTCTGTAATTTTGTGTTTTTTGCAACTCCAATTCACATAGTAGGGATGGGTGTTTTGGATCCATAGGCACTAGTGGACAAACCCTTGTCACATTTACATCCATATCACTAAAAATTAAGTCTAGGGTTCTATTATCCTCGTTCAAACAATTGTTGAATGATTTTAGATCATTCATATTCATAAGATAAGATATATGGTTGATGATATTATTGTTACCCTTACTGAAATCGAAATGGGTGCCATTGATACAAGGTATATTAAAATCACCAAAGAAAAAGTAGTGCGTATTATGACGATAATTATCGGTGACGGAATCACACAAATCTACATAATCCTTATAAAGTTGCGAATTTGAATTTGGTGGTATATATACAGCACTGAGAATAAAATCATTGCCCAGCATGTTAGTTTTAACAAAGATTGCCTCTGATTGGGAGTTTTCTGAGACAATCAAGGTTGCATTGTATTTTTTCAGTACCGCTATAAGAACTCCACCGCCTCTCGTTTTCCCGCTTTTTAGCGGACACCTGTCACAGCGAAAGGCAATATAGTTTTCATTGAAAAGTTCAGCGTCAAAAATTTCATCATTTAGCCACGTTTCAGTTAGGATGAGTACATCATAATTATCTAGTAATACATTCTGATTAAATCCAGTTAACTTGGTACGCAACCCCCTACAGTTTTGGTAAAAAATTCGCAGCTTCATGATGGCATAATTGACTTATAATAACCAATATAAATGTAATAAATGAGTTTACAATTGCTATCTATAAACGAATAGTAAGAATGAAAAATCTATAGTCCATGCGCACTTTTCCCAATTGACTTCAATATTATACGTTGGCGCAATTCATGAACTGATAAATTGAAAAGAAAAATAATTTATTTTTGTTTTGCTGATCGTGTCTGTCTTTGATTTCTTTCCTTCTGCGTCAATGACCCCTCGCTAGATACACTAACTTTCCTTTCTTTATAGCTAGAAGAATATTCTTCTTCTGTAAACACGTTTTCTTTTAGCTCTTCCAGACTTGTGGTAATTCCATTTACAATTAGTGACAAGCCTTTAATCCTGACTTCCTTTCCCTTTTCCCTCAAAGTTTTTTGATATGTGTGAAGCAACTTCTTCTTCTGATATTCTTCTGTGGTGTAATCGAGCGCAATATAAATACCGCTGCCCTTTAAATTTTTTGCTTGACTGAGAATATTCACTTTAAGCTTGTTGGTTGAACACTCAACCAGAATGGGGCTCGGCTGATTGTTCTTGGTTGCAGAGTTGAGTCTATAAACGTCCCTCAAATCCCTTCCTTCACAGTTTATCTTCAAGTTTTGTTTGAATAGATTGAGAACTGCCTGGTGTGGATCGTCACCTTGTAGATTATATATGAAGAGGTTATATTTCTTGTTCTTCTTTTCACTCGCTGTCACCCTTTCTTTCAAATTTTCTACTTCCTTCCTCAAGCTGTCTGTTTCGATTTTCAGTTTGCCTATTTTATCATCTACCGACTTCTTATAGGCTTTAAATTCAGTATTCAATGCTTCTAATTTGCCGACTACCTGATCATTCTGGGATTTAATATCTTCATTTTGGGACACAATATGTTGAAACATTTTCACCAGCTCATCTTTATAATCTCCCATATTTCTTAAAAGGTAATGAACAAAAACTCAATCGAGGACCTTAAGTAAGTTTTCATTAATTTCAATTTACTAAACGACCCTTCACATGTTGCTGTGGTCACTGGTTATGTTAAGAATATTCTGAGAGCTGTGTCCAGATTAGGATATATTGTTTGAAGCGACAATTCACGCATTTTCCGAAGAATATCAAGAGAATTCATTTTGTCCAAGTCCGTAAACATTGCACATGCTTCAAATTTGAAGCTCTCTAATTCGCATACGGATCCAAATCGAAACTATATTTCAATGCCGAATCTGCAGCTTTCTTCTTCAATTCACCAAGTGAAGACTCTTCTATAGATATTCCTTTAAAAAAATTGAAGTCTTCAGAAACTTCTGACAGCGCAGTAAACCTTTCTCCAAGTTGCATCGATATGGAGTCCAATACTTAGAGGAGTTCCTTTTTCAAAAAACTTTTCCTATCCGTAATGGAAGCCTCATCATTAGCTTCTCCT